GGGAGGCAAAACTATCTACTGTATAAGCATATTGTGAAATTTTATTGAGATAAAATATAAAAGCATCTGGAAATTAATAGGCATTTCAGCACACTTCAGTGCTTTGACCCTTCCGTTACTTGCCTTATACACGTAGATGCTTTGCAAGATGTAGGTTCTACCCTAGGTCCCCTCATCTCACGCCTGTCCTTCTTAGTGTCATCTACTCCCATGGTATGCAAGGACTGTATTTCCAGTTTCTCCCTTACTATTAATCTTCAGAATGTCTCTTCAGCTGCCCGCTAAACAAGTCCATCTGGGTGTCCCCTAGGCCTCCGATCAGACACCAACTTCTGTCACTTAAACTCTACTTGATACCCCCCAATAGATGATCTATTTTGTTTGTTGCGATATCCCCAGTGACTGAAATAATGCCTGATACCTACTTAAACCATGTATTGAATAAATTAACCTCTCTTTGTCTTCACTGCCATGGATGTAGTCCAAACCCTCATTTTTCCAATTGGAAAATCATGTTCATAGCCCCTGAACTAGTTTCTCTGCCTCTAGGAACTCCAGCTCCCATTGCTTTCTCTCCAATCCATCCTATACACTGCCTGCCACGAGTTAAATTGTGAACATTCTAAAAAACAGACCCCAAATTTTCCCTGGTCCTTCATAATATAGCCTCAGTGTAATTTTTTGGCCTATTTCCCACCACTTCTTCACTCTCAAAATTTCCTATTTTCTCTACTTTCAACACATACTTTTTAAAAATTTCGAATCCCAAGTGTTTATTGATATATATAGGAAATCAATTGACTTTTGTATATTAACCTTGTATCCTGCAACTTTGCTGTAATTTGCTTTCCCCCCCAGTTTCCTAGAATGGAAGCTTATTTATTTTAGGTCTTTCTTCTTTTCTAATATATGTACGGCTTCCACTGCATCCTACAAATTTTGATGTTGTATTTTCATTTCATTCAAAATATTTTAAAGTTTCTCTTGAGATTTCTTCTTTGATCCATGTGTTACTTAGAAGTTTATTCTCCAAGTGTTTGGGGGTTTTCCAGCTCTCTTTCTGTTCCTGACTTTTTTGTTTAATTTCCTTGTGGTCTGAGAGTACCCATTGCATGATTTCTATTCTTTTTAATTTGTTAAAGTGTGTTTTATGGCCCAGGATGTGATCTTGGTGAAAGTTTTATGGGAACTTGAAAAGAGTGTGTTCTCTGCTGTTGTTGGTCTACAGATGTCAATTATAACCAATTGATTGATGTATTGAGTATGTCCTGCCTGCTGGATCTGTCCATTGCTCATGAAAGATTGTAAAGTCTCCAAGTATATAGCGGATTCATCTCTTTCTCCTTGCAGTTCTTTCAGTTTTTGCCTCATGTATTTTGATGCCCTGCTTTTAATTGAGCATGTTATTCCATTTTCTCCCTCCTCTCTTAACACATTGATTTTGCATTTCTTTATCAAAATTTCATACTGGTTGCCCTAGAGTTTGCAATACATTTACAACTAATCTAAGTCCACATTGAAATAAAACTATACTGTTTCAGGGGTAGTGTATCTACCATATAACAGAATATTCCCACTTCCTTCTTCCCTTCATTGCTGTCATTCATTTTACTTATCCATACGCTATAAGCATCTGAAAATTGTTGCTATTATTGTTTTGAACAAAGTTATCTATTAGATCAACTAAAAATAAGAAAAAATTATTTTACCTTCACTATTTCTTCTCTGAAGCTCTTCTTTTCTTTATGTAATCTGAGTTTCTAACCCATATCATTTTCCTTCTCTCTGAAGAACTTCTTTTAACATTTGTTGAAAGGCAGATCTCCTAGCAATAAATTTCTTCAGTTTTTTTGAGTCTTTATTTCTCCTTCACCTTTGAAGGATAATTTTGCTGGATAAAATCCTGTGTTGGTGGGGTTTTTATCACCGTCTGAAGTATTTACACTCTATTCTTGCATAGTTTCTGTCAAAAGACTCAACATAATTCTCATCCATGTTCCTCTAGAAGTAAGGTGTTTTACACCCCTGGCTGCTTTTTCTCTGTCTTTGGTTTTCTGCAGTTTGAATATGATATGCTTAGGTGTAGATTTTTTGGTATTTATCATGCATGGTGTTTTCCTAGCTTCCTAGATCTATGCTTTTTAGTGTCTATCATTAATTTTGGAAAATTGTTAGCTATTATTATTTCAAATATTTCTTCTTGTTTTTTCCCCCTCTCCTTCTGGTATTCCCACTATACCTATGTTGTTACACCTTGTATAACTGTCCTATCTTTCTTGGATATTCTGTTCTCTTTTTTTTTAATTCTTTTTTCTATTTGTATTTCAGTTTGGAAAGTTTCTTTTCTTTCCTTCCCTTCTTTCTCTCTTTCTTCTCTTTCTCTCTCTCTCTCTCCCCCCCCCCCTT